CACTTATAGAAGCAGATAGAACAACTGCATGAATATTTTTGGCCGTATGCAACACTGCATTTCCATTCGTCGTCTGTTCTTTCTGAAGATCATTCGGACTTAATATCATGGTTCAGATTAAGCATCTAAGACCACAGAGTAGCGTTTTGCGTTTTTTCCGTCGTTAATCCTCGAACGTACATTCTATGGGCCGTCAGCGGGAATATGCACCCACAGGCTAGTGCCATGTACTCCACTTGGCCCTGTGGTAATTTGACCGTATCCAAACTCCATGATCTCGCAAATCAGCGCGATCAATGCCCTACGGTAAAGCCCCAAAAACTGTCGAATGTCTTCGTGGTGCCTATTTGACACAAAAGAGTTTCTTCAACGACATTAGGAGGAAATATTTTAACTGCACATCTGATCCAGAGCAATGTACTAGTACAGTGATCTGATGACATCGATTTCTCGGTTGTTCACATTCCCAGATCTTTGTGGGGTTCCACATCTTTCAACACAGTGCTACTACGGCCTAGGACCACGCATTTGTGCAAGCTCATCAACACTTACAGTTATCGTTTCTAACCTCCCTGGCTCCCCAACTTTATCGTCCGCGATGTCGTCCAAATCACCTAGACTGATAGCTTCTCCCATGCCTTCCTGTAAAATCATCTGCGCCATAACGTAAGAGAAACGTGATTGAACAACCTAATCCGAATAGCTCAGGAGTAAATATTTTTAACGCTCATCTGATCCAGTGCAACGTAGTCATTGACGTCTCAACCGTCTTTTTGACGGCATCAGTGTCGCGCAGATCTCTGTACGTTCCCACATCGTTTAATACGGTGCTATTACTGAAATATTGATGTTTTGAGATACTTTTCGACCAGAGCTCATTTAGGTATAGTAACCTCGAGAAGCCACCTATCTGACTACGAATCCTTGCCATAATTAAATCACAAGCAGTGTGTTAGCCTGCACTGGAGGAAACAGCCATCGTCCGATGCCTCTCAGTTTCAGT